GTTATTGACTTGATAGGAGAACTAAGGAGGACACGAGCCTCCTTCCCAATCATTATCCATGAATATACATCCTCGAAATCCTAAGTATCATCAAGAGATTTATTTCCTGTAGTTTCTGGAACTTAACCAGTTGCTCTCGTACCAGCCCTTTCTAAACTACCTATAAGGATACAGAGGAGTACCAGGATACCCAGGATACAATACCAGATGCTGCCCCATCCTGATATTGGAGACGCTGCTTTTGACAGACAGCTCTTCACATATCTGGAGCAGCCAATTGCTCGCATACCAGCCTGTCTAAACTGCCCACCAGGATATAGAGGAGATCTAGGATTCCCAGAATACCAGATGCTGCCCCATCCTGATATTGGAGACGCTGCTCTTGACAGACAGCTCTTCACATATCTGGAGCAGCTAGGTGATCTAGTTAGACCTTGGACTCCAGGAGCAGAAGCTAAACATGATATTGGAGACGCTGGTCTTTACAGACATCTCTTTACACATCTGTTGTAGAAATAGCTACAGGACACATAGGAGAACTAGGACTTCCAGGACACACAGGAGAGCTAGGACTTCCAGGACATACAGGAGAACTAGGATATCCAAGGCAAACAATCCAACTACAGACCAAGATATATTCTCCAGCTGGTTGTATGAACAGAGCTTTTGAGACTTGGAGCAGCTAGAGTGTTAATAAAGAGGAGAACTAGATTACCCGGCCAGTTCCTCAGAGGCTACTCTATACTCTCCAGAGGTTCCTAAGTACAGTAGACGCCGCTCATTGTGGAGCATCTCATCACAGACCTGTTGTGGAACCAATGGCAGAACCAGAGGATTCTGAGTAAGGAGACCCTGCTCATTGTGTAACAGCTCTTCATCGACCTGTTGTGAAACCAACAGCAGAACCAGAGGATCCTGAGACAGGAGATGCTTCTCTTTGCAGACATCTCTTCACAGATCTATTGTAGAAGCAGTTGAGGAACAAGAGCTATTGATGCAGGAAACGCTGCTCCTTGCAGATAGCTCTTCACAGACCAGTTGCCATTCTACCAAAGGAAGCAGTTAGGAATGCAGTGGAAGCATCTCAAATTGTAGGAGCAGCTAAATTAGTGGAGACTCCAGAACAACTACAGTAGCAGATAGGGTTACAGTTGAAGCATCTCATGAACCAGAGTTGAGGAAGCTGCTCATACTGATGTTGAACTATCTAGAGCGGCTGATCTAGACATTGGAGCTGAATGAGACATTAAAGATTAGCTGAACTATGGTCTTTAAGTAGATATCTAAAGGAACTGGTTAAAACAAGATTAAACTTATACAAATAAAACTATAAAGATAATAAATCCTTTCCATTTATACTCCTAAGAGATATCTAAAGAAAGAGCTATTAAAGGGATTTATAAGAAATAGAGCACAGTGGCGTAGGGAGCAAATGATTGATCTTGAAATCCCTAAGATTTACATCTGAAATTGTATTTGATAAAACACATTAATAATTACACCATTGATATTTACTTCTACAAATTGTGCTTCCATCTTTACTACCTTTCATTGCTGAAGGCTGCTCTTTAAAGACCAAGATTAATAAATGGTTGACTACAACCAAGAAGGGGGGGGAGGCAAAGACAAGTGGAGTTTATTTCATGGTATTGACCCAATTTTCAAGACCTTTCCATTTCTGATTGTTATGGACAAAAAATCTAAACCCTGCACTCTTAAAAATCCATTTTTGATCCTGTGAGGTTGTTCTTTCTTTACTTAAATTTTGTCCTGACTGTGATGCTGGTGCTTTCAATTTTCCCTTAGCATTTAATTTTTGGTGAATTTTTATGAAATTTTTGAAATCCCTATTGATAATTGTAATAAATTGTAAAACTTATGATGTTCTTTTGAAATTATGATTTGAATCTTTCATTTCTGTCAATTCATAAAAAAGTTTGCAATAAAAAATTGTGGGGGGGGGCAATTGTTGTACATGCATTTATGCATTTGACCTAAATTTCATGGGGTGCTATAGCGTACAAAATTAGCACCAAATTGCAATTACAATCAAATAGTCAACACTATAAGTCCTTTTTTGCTTACCCTGTGCTGTAATTTTCTTTATAAGCTCTTGAACAATCTGGTCCGGCCTATATCCTGCGTCAAAATAAATTTGTATAAATTTATTAGAAAATTTAAGAGTTTAAGATAAACTTTCAAGCGTCTAAATATGTCAAAGGCTTCTTTAAATTTCAAAATAAAAGAAATGTACTTTCATGTACAAAAATATCTAAAAGGGGATGAGAACTTTCCCATTTTTCCCAAACCTTTAAAATTAAAAAACTAACATACTTAATTTTGTGTGTTATGTGATAATATATCAATGAAAACTTTGATTGATAAATTGTATTTAAATAACTTATTTTTTTGCATATGAAATGTATCTTTAATCATAGAAATATTAGAACCAATTTCTATTGGATACATTCCTTTAAAAAGCTGGTTTTAACATGAACGCAGATTTTAGATTTTAGATTAGCAAGATTCAATGAAAATTGTTGCATGCCAAAAAACCAGCTTGTAATTAAGGTAGGATTAATTGCAAGAAATTCCAAAAAAAAATCAAGCGATAATGCAACTTGCATGAAATATTTTTGGGGCAAGTGCAATATGTTTGCACTAAATTACAATTCCACTCAAAATGTTATAAATCAATAAAAATTCTTTTTTACTCACCCTGTGTTGTCATTTTCTGATAAACCTCTTGAAACAGTTTACATGTTTGAGGAATAGCAAGCATTACACATGCTTGTGGATAGACAAAATTGTCGATGGTGCTGCATGTACAATCTAGAAATTTAAAAGTATTGTAAGGTTAATAGCTAATTTTTGTTCATTGAAAGTTCCATTTTCTCACCTTAATGACATTGAAAGATTTGGTACAAATTTCTAATAATTTATTTTTGCAGATTTGTTGTCATCACTCTTTTCTTTAAAAAGAGATTTGAGTGTATATTTAGCTTTCAGAGAAGCAACATTTATGTCTTGTGAGAGGCGCTTCTGCAAGTTTATAGAAATACAGGGTGAGAGAGAGAAAATGGCAAACTAAAACAACTATAAGTAGGAGTGTATATGGAGTATATATTTTCATTGGTCCTAACTCCTTAAGTCAAGTCGAAGATCTTACACCTGTCAATCAGGTGACATAAGCTGTCGTCAGAGTTAGGTCCAAGATTGGGTCTTAAGTCAGGTTTAAGGAAATACAGCTCAAGCCAAAGTTTTTAGATTGCGAGCTCAGGTTGCAAAGATATAGGGATTATAAAATTTGTCTTTGAGGAAAAGACTCAATTCCTTAGCATATTCTACACTTTAGAAACCTAAAATTTCAATCTAAAAGTATAACATTCTTGTTTTTAGTTAAACACCCCCTCGATATAAACAGTGTCTGAAATAGTTTTCAAAATAATAGGGTTTCCATGTGCAATAAACGTTTATTCGATTTAAGGAAAGTTTGATAACATTTTGTTAAAAAATGCCTTTTTGCTAATAACAAATATATTTCAAAGTTAGTTATCAAAAACTAGCCTTAGAGAAACTGCAATGATTCGAAAAATATAATTATTATTCTGATTTCCATAACAACACAGACACTGGAGAACAGTTTTTAGTCCTCCCAATACAATTTCTTGTTGTGGCATGCACCAAGATGAATTTTTATTATGGGGAGATAAGTTAGCCTACTATAGGGCAGGTTTAGCACTATTATTTCACAATTGGGCATTGGAAATCCTAATAAATAAAAAGAATAGAACAGAGAAGGGTTCAGTTTATCCAAATAAATCAAAATTATATCATGTAATTAAATACAGTACATACCACCAGCTAAAAGGGAGCTTTCAGCATTGCACACAAATCTTGAAATAGATCATTTAAAAAACCGATGTATGGTTATCAGAATATTGAATGTAAATGAAACAAAATTTCTACTCATTGCAACTTTTTCACTTGAAAAAAGTATGAAATTAAATATTTTTAAATCAAAGTTTTTAATATTTGAAAATCAAGATCATGTTACCTCAAAATGACAATGAGGCCCAGAAGTCCTTTCATCTTGGTGATCAAATTCAGTTTGATGAAACTCCGTTGCATTTACTATAGCAACACCTTGCATTAGATTAAATATTCTAAACTCCAATGCACAACAACAATTGAGTCAAAAAGATGGAACATTTGACTTGATTAATTATTCAAGGGTGTGCACTAGAATATATGAATAAAATGAAGAGTTTGTTTATATTTAATGTATATAGGAATGGACATGTACATACAGTTTTAACCATATATGATAAAATATAACTTCCTTTTTTAAGTCATTTTGTTATGTCCTGAAACAGACTTAATTAAAGAAAAAACTACAAAGGAGACTTCATTATGTTAGGAACTCTCGTCTGAAGTGAAATACATAATTACAGTGAAGATTTTCTTTGCATGTAAAAATGTACATAGGAATGGGCATTGGACATAATAAAGTTTAATCAACACAGGAAGAAAAATAACTTCGTATTTTGTGTCATTTTGTTATGTTCAGAAACTTAATTAAACAAAAACTGTAAAAAGACATTGTGAGGATCAAAATTCTCATAATTTTTGTTCTCTTACAAACGAAGCAATGTGTCAATATCAAAACATAACTACCAAGCCTTTAAGGCATTTATGACCCCTTATTTATGCCATGGTTGTAGCTTTAAAGTCTTACTTTAAAACAGCCACATTTTCTTAATCTATTATAATTACAAAAAGAAATTATCCAAATTATTTAAAGGTTGTTTAAATTCTGATCAGCCATAAACTTTCCCAAGGGTTGATTTAGTTGCCACTAGAAAATTAGACAATAAATATAGATTTGTGAATGTGTAAATGTATGTCTATATTATAAACTTTACTTACTACTATATATATGTTAATGTGTATTCTTTTACTGTTTCAATACTTCTAATCTGCTATCTTAAAAGTAAAGGCTAAAAATAATTTTATAATTTGTTGATTGATGCTAATGTATTTGGAAAAATGAATTACAAAAATAAAATTCGAATTATTTTGAAAACCAAAGATTCAATTGCTAATAGTCTAGTAGCCTGCACAGTCACCAGTACAGAAATTTCGGGATGAATTTGGATTCCAGCAGTTGTCAGGGATGGGGCATTTCTCGTTTGATCCAGAACAGGTATAGGCAGTAGGCACCCATATAGGAGCAGTCACATTTGTATCCACGGGGCGGTGCTTTCTTTATTTTACATCCAGAAGCTTTGGGGATACCCATAAATCCGTTTTTGTATTCATATTCACAATCACAGTCTGAAAAATCAAAAAGGATCATTATCAAAAGTCTGTTTTTAACTTTGCAATTATTTGTTCTTCTAAACAAAATTAAATCAAAGTAGAATTTTAAAAATTCGATTGTGTACATTCAAAACTCACAATATTTCTTCTTCAAAAATTTTACTTTGCAGGGAAAAGATATACGCTTGTATAAGCCACTTTAACTGTTTGTTTTAAACAACTTAAAAACTCCGAAAGGTCTTCTAACCCTTCTAAAATAAAGCCAAATATCATCAATTTTCAATTTAGATATTTCAAAAGAAATTACAATAATCATGGATCTTTCACGGAAAATCTACTCTGTTATAAAGTTTCTACATAAATACTCATTACCAAAATAATCATCATAGCCCTCACAGTCCCCAAGTCCCAAAACACATGAAGAATATGATGTGTCTGGATTGACACATTTTTCATTTGTTGGTGCTTTGCAATCAACAGTTTCCCCAGAGCATGTGTAAGACAGTGGGGCAACATATTTACACTTGCATGCCTTTCCGGGGCGAGCTGCTCTTGACACTTTACATCCTTCATCTCCACCTTTTGTGTAATCACAATCACAACCTATAAAGTATAAATATGATTTAAGCAAGTTAATTTTGCTCTTTCAAGTTCTCAAATGTATTCTAGCTAGAAATTCTATTTTATTATTTTTAAAATCTGTTTATTTTGCCCAAAAAAATGTATTAAATGTTAATCATTGACAAATTATCTGCTCTCAGGGCTTTTAAGATTTAGAAAATCAAAATTTAATTACATTTAATTCAAAAAATTAATTTAGTCATGCTTAAATCTAGGTGCTAAAAGATCCAAAAAAGGCAAATACTTGATTATTAAACTACCTATATCTTTTGAAATATTTAACCTATCAAAAAGTAAACAAACCCCTAAATCTGTATTTGGAATATTCGGAGGGAGGTCTTGGGCTCGCAAATTTTATTTAAAGTTGAAACTAAAGAGATATGCTAAAAAAACGTCTTTTTGGAACATATAACTATAATTATGAAATGCTACCAGTCGAAGACTACTAACCTAAATTTTTTTTTTTCATATTTGGACTTCATAGACCCCTAAAAACCGGGGTTGGTTTGTTCAAATGTGTAACATCAAAAAAGTCAATTGACGACCTCCTTTAATATACATACATACTACATAACCTTTTTTGAAAAAAGGAACTTACTAAACTCATCATCGCCTTCACAGTCCCCACTTCCTTGTTGACATGCTTGAAAGGATGTGTCTGGTTGTTTGCATTTATTATCATTAGAATCTTTACAGTTAACAACAGAGCCCTTGCATGGAAATACTAATGGTGCAACATAGGAACACTTGCAGGCCTTTCCAGATCTTGCAGGTTTAGTGATAAAGCAGCCTCCACTTGCACCACTGCCAAATACATTGTTAGATCAAATTCGTTCATCTTTGATACATCAAATGGATGTTCCAGAAGAAAATTTGAACTTTAAAATTTCACAAATCATGTATATTGAAGTTGTCAAATTTGTCTATGCTTTGGCTTGTTTAATATTGTTCTCATAATATAACAAGGATTAGGATATAGGATTTTAGGGCAGTACTATCAAGTTCTATTTCTTGCAAGTTTAATCCATTAAAAAAAATTGCAGTATTATTTAAATTTGTTAGTAAATTATTAAAAACAAAAAGTTTTATTTGAAAATCTAGCAAAGTTATTGTGCCTGGTGTAGTCGCAATCACATTCATCTAAATAAGGCTGATATTGAAATAAGGAAGAGGGAAGTAAAATTTCAGCATAGCATGCAGAAAATTCCCAATTAAAAAACAAACCTTCTGGAATGTTCGGTCATATTTTGAAAAAGCACAAGCGGGGTAGGATTGTTCCCCTAGTTCCATTTCTCCCAAAAATATTCTTAACTTATTTTCTAGTATTTAAGGATGACACAGGTAAAACTAAAATTTAATTGAATCCATGCTTTAAAATAAAATGTGAGATATTAGAAACCTCCTCCTGCCTCTCCCTAATTGCAAAATATTATCCACGAGCGTGGAGGGCATCCCCCATAAGCATCAATGAAATCCAACCATTTTGAATTCCAGTTTAAACTCACCATCTCCAGGTACAGTAGACGTCAAGATAGTAGAGGGAAAGGTTGTTGTAGTTGTACCAGGCAATGTTGCTGTAGTATTGAACCTTATATCTGGTCGGCATAACAAACACCCAAAACACCCAAAATAATGCAAATCCAAAGTTACAAAATGTCTAAAATTTTAAAAAATCCAATTAGCTGCAAAATAACCATTTGGAAATATCTAGAATTTTATTTTTTTATTTTGGTGTCAAAACTCAGGACAGGCTGGGTTTCAGAACTTTCCCTGGAAGAAAAGATTATTCATAAATAAAAATCAAAGGTACTGAGTTTTTGCAACAAACTCAAATCTTCTAATCCCTAGATCTATGAAACCTGATTTCAAACTTAGATTATTTGATCTAACAAAATTCATAGTTTGAAATACCAAAGGTTTACCACATTCGATTGAAAAGATATAAAAATTGAAATTAAAAAATGATTTCCGGTTTTCAATTCTAATTTTTGTCTATTTCTTTACTGTGAATTTGTTAATTTCAATTTATTTTCGTTCGTTATTCAAATTAACGATCAATATTTAACGATCGTCCAACGAATTCCTTCGTAAAAATACAATTGTGAGGTAAAAGAAATTATAGTTCACAATTTTTGTCTACTATTTGCTCAGCCATTTCGAAATCTAAATTGTTTCTAACAGTAATTAGGGATTATTCTATTTTGATGCGGATCAGGAATCTGAATCCGTCGGGAAGAAAAATGGACCAAACCCGGATCCAGTTCATGAATATTCCTTAAGGATTTACTGATTTTTGAAACTAAAAAAAAATTTTCTACACTTATTTTTCATGGATCCATGGATCCAAATATTTTTGCAGATCCGGATCCAGACCCGGACCACGGAAGCCAAAATGTTGCGGAACCAACAGATCCTTTTCGAAAAATAAATTTATTGCTTTGTAAATCTATTCTTTATTGATGATTATGAAAAAATCTAAATATAACGCTATTTTCAGAGTTTATTGTGCACATCTGTTGTTAAGCTATAGGACAATGTAAATTTAACAAAACCGGAAAGAATTAAATATTTATGAATAAAATAACAAAACATTTAATTATCTAGCTACATAAGCCTCAACAAATTGTTTTTTGCTTCTTTTTTGTACAGATTTACAGATTTTTGTGAACAACATGGGAGAAAAATAAAATGTTGGCGTCTTTGTTGATAGAATTATATTTCCATAAGTTTTTTGTTCAAATTTTCAAAAATTAGAAACATTAGAAAATACGAAATGTCTGCAGTGACTCACCAAGTTTGCAGTGGCATGTCCGATTCGCAATGGTACCCCGTCCGGCCTTGCAGCTCTTGTTTGATGAAGAATGCATTAGATGTATAGAATTTGTGAGAATTTACAAGCTCTAGAAAAACATCGATATCTTCCATGTTATTGATCATATAAAGGTGTAAAGAATACTGATTTAATCCTCTTTAAATGTAGGTTTGTTTTAAACCACAAGGACAGTCCCTTTAATAATCCATGTTTTTTACCTTTATACTTAGTTATCACTGGCCACTGCAAACAAAAAGTTTAGCTAGAGGGAGGAGGACATTACTGCTACGACTTTGTGATCTCGTATCTTACACTATGTATTTTCCTGTAATTAGAAAATCTTCCGAGATATTATTTCTCACAATTGTCTTGTGGCATTATGAGAAATAATGTCCCCGAAGATTGGATTTTTCACTAAATTTTGCGAATTTTAGAGTGTTTTTTTTTCGCGTTTTTTCGGTTTAAAATGGAATAAAATTATGAAAGCAATTGACTCGTGTATAATTTGGGAAATTGTATTTTTGCCGGGATTTTTACTGAAATTAGTTTGTTTTCGGTAAAAATTCAACCCTTAAATCCTTCACTACGTTTGGGATTTAAACTTTTAAATTTTAACCTCAAACAAACTAAATTAAGTAAAAATCCCGGCAAAGCAACCCCCACACACAGAGGCGCAACTAGGAGTTTGGCTAGGGGGGGGCAATATATTATTTTTTTAGGGTTTGGGGGGGTTTTAGGGGGGGTTTTTCCCCCCCTTTTTCGAAAATTTTCAAAAACAAGAGTGCTTTTTTATGGGTTTAAAGTCGAAAAAAGGAAATTTTAAGTTGTTGCATGCAGATTTGTTCAATTCAAATCGATTTGTTGTTCTTGTGTTTTTACAAAATTTATGCTTCCAACAGCTGTAAAATGAATGATATGAGTCAATTCATTGAATATGTGTGCGAATCGCAAAAGAGTATTTTTAAGTACCTGGTTTAATTACAGATTAAATTGCAAGAAATAATCATTTATTGTTTCTGGAAAAAAAAACATAAAAATACATAGGTAAATAATAATTTCAATCATCTACATTGAAAAGGACAGATAATGTTACCTTTTCTCTTGAAGTTATTGAATTAATGATTGATCTAACCAACATTCATAATCTAAATTCATTTTCGATTTTACAGAACTTCTGTCAAAGAAGATAAATCTTGTTAGTTATCAAATATGATAATCAGTTAGAAATTTGCCAGGTTCAGAATTTTCTCTAGATTTGGAACTGAGTTTTTGCCACAAACTCAAATATTCTAATCCCAAAATCTTTGCACCGAGTGGTGTAAACATTTGATATTTCAAACTTGGAATATTTTACCATAAGAATTCAAAGTTTGATATCTACGAGTACTCTATAAACTCAACACAAATAAAATACAATTCAGAACTTTTTTTACATTAACAATAGCCTTTAGCCTTGAGAATTGAGAAAGATAAAAATATTTTTTTTAAAACTAACTATAGTATAATAAAATTTCTACAATAACTCTATTGGTTTTCTTATTCCTGTGATACTGTTTTTCGCCATTCTTTCTTTCTTTTCATTCTGCACCAAGAAATGTTAAAAAATTATCTATCAATGTTGATCTGGTGTACTTTAACTTTTCTAAAAAATGATGATCTTGTTCTTTCACCATGTGCTCATTTCAAATTATGATCTGTTTTTTTTCAACAAGTGCTCATTTCAGATCTAGACAGTTCAACAAATATGTTTTCTAATCATCTAGACCAGGGAACAGGAATCCAAACTATGGAGGTTTATTTAACGGCGTAGTGACCTAACTGCGTATTAAGTTTGGTGCATCCTTATATCTATCTATCCATCTTTTCTACTTTTCCGGGTCAATCTTTTTATAAAGAAAGTTGTCAATGTTCTTTTCTAAAAAGGAGAACAGTATGGGTGGGCGTCATTATTAAATCATTTGTCATTTTTTAAAAACATTATAATTGGGTTGGAGCTTAGAAATGTAACGAAACATTGTTTCGACATTTTATAAGTGATTCAATTCAAAAAGAAAAAAACCCGCGAAAATTTGTCTAAATTTTAATCAATGAAAAATGGCGGCTTGAAAATCAACACGTGATCAACATCAACAATTTAAATTGTTACTGGAAAAGAAGCGCGACACGCCCAATAAAAGTCTAGAAAAAGTATAATCATGTATAATATTGCAATTGCAATGTATAATATTACAATCAGAGAAATTTATCTTTTTTTCTTTTTTAAATCCAGAACAAATTCTTAACCCCTTTGAATGTTGAAAGCCAACGTCAAATTCATTGATCTTGCGATTTAGGCTAAATTTGTTCCAACGTTCTGGGTCGACTCTACACTGGGTAGTACGACTGAATTCATGTAAAGTACATGATATACCGGCTCGGATCATGCATCTTTTAGAGTGGGGTGAGTAGATTACAAATGGTTACGACAATCTACTGACAGTTAGGGTTTCCAGTCATATATGTGTTACGCATAATTACGCGTAACACGTAAATAACATGCTAATTATGTATACAAAAGAAAGTCTAGTTTCGCGTGATTAAGGCGTAATTACACAAAATTACATAATACAAAACCAATCCGTAATTAGTAAAGTACATGTAAATTCTCTTAAATGAATATAGCGGGAAAATATGTAAAAAGATATGCACGTTACAACCATGTCCAATCTGATTGGATAATTTTACATAATTGAAGTTTCGCTAATTACGCTTAATTATTACAAAATTTCGCAAAATTACCTTGTAGAAATCACACGAAATTACAGCGTAATTTCGCAAAATCAAAGTTTTACTAATTACGAGTAATTATTACAAAATTTCGCAAAATTACTTTGTAGAAATTACGCAAAATTACACCATAATTTCGCGATAAATTCAAGTTTTGCTAATTACCCATAGTCATTACAAAATTTCGCGAAACTACTTTGTAGAATTTACGCAAAATTACACCGTTGCAGTTTTGCCAATTACGCAAAATCCTGCGAAATTACACGCAATGAAAATTATTTTGCGTAACTTCACGTAACTACGCGTGAATAATCTATTACGTTGGAAACCCTACTGACAGTCAAAGAATGGATAGAAATGGTATCGTGCCCTGCCCTAACAAAGAGTACATCTACTGCACACTGCAAATTGTATAGGGTTACCCGCAAAGGATGAGGCTTCAGAGACGACTATACTGAATTTATACTGTCTATAGATCCGTATTCATCATTCCGTGCAACTGTAAAATTGGTTCTCTCTTTTTTGAACCATTTTATAAGCCAATAAAAGACTAAATTAAAGGCAGAAAACTTCATTCAACATTAGGATCGACATAATTTAAGAGTCTCATCTTTTGTGGGTAACCCTGTATAAGGTTGTAACTGCATTATTATCTACCGCGCAATAAACAAAAAGTGTATTTGATCCATGTTTAATCTTGAAATATATTCGTAGCACTATTAAGTTCTAATCACTGTTTGTTAAAAATTTTCTGAAATTAAGACAGTTTAAAAATTATATAATTTTATAACCTAAGTTTAAGGAGGGGTAAAATAGACCTTTTAAACATCTCTTGTGCATTTTATATGACATTCTACAAATCCCTTTAAATCTATGTTAAAGGGACTGACAGCGTAATTTTAAGTGATCATCTGTGCAACTATGGCATCGTTCGATTTACAACCGTACCCTTGAACCTGAACAAATATGAATTGGATATGCATCTTTTCGTTTATTTTTATTTTGGTTTCTCTGCATACATACTTGTGCATTTATTGCTTGCAAGAAACAACGGAAAGATTCAAAGAAATTATACTTTTCAATTTAGAAAAACGAAGTTATCTTCCAGATTTTTGATCAAAATAAGGTTTCAGGGTACCGTGGTTAATCAGGAATGGCTTTCTTTTCCTAGATTGCGCTTCTACATTTCCTTTAAAGGGACTGTAAAGGAAAAATAAAAATGGGTTAAGTCTCGGTCTGTATCACGTTATCAGTATGCTGCACTTTCATTATTATCTATTATATCTATTGAAAATAAAAATTATAAAATAATAATTGGAGAAAACCTAAGTTGTAATTAGGTTTCTCTGGGATATCTTCGTTTTCAGATTGGTTGCTTGTTTGCAGAATATGATCTGTTAAAACCTATATTCTATACAAAATTGTCATGGGCGTATTCAGGAATTTGTCTAGGGGAGGCCTTAATTTTTTTTCTCTTTCCAGGGGGTTTAACACCTGTTGGGGCCTGAAAACCACCTGAAATCAAAAGCTTTATATCAATATCTCGAGATAGGAACATCAGATACAACTTTCATGGGTCGCGATGAAGAGCTTAAGTGATTAGCTTTCAGCCTATACCCCCTTTCAGTTTTCCTTTATAGTCCCTTTAACACCAAAGTACTGGAAACTAAATATAGGATTTGTTTTAAAATACAAGGATAAAAATCAGGTTTTTTAGTTTTATTTCTAAGATGATGGGAAAACTATATACTGCACGGATACAGGAAATGGATAGTTTTACAATACAACGGAATATGAGAACTGTAAATATAGATCAGTTACATCATAATATTGATTTTTAAAAGTTTTTGATCTTGAAAACATTTTTGTTTACTATATGGAATTCTTCATTTATTATTAATCATTTTGCATTAAAACAGATTTTATAAATCTTTTTTTAAATAACCATTTAATATAATTATCAGCATTAACTATACTGGGTTACCCACAAAAGATGAGACTTTAGAAACGACTGTACGGAATTTAATCTGTCAGTCAGAAGAAGAACCTAGAATATTTATATTAAATAAGCTTTAGATCCGTTACAACCTCATCCTTTGTGGGTACAGCCCTGTATCTAGTCTTAGGATTCCAGTATTGAAAGAATATCAAGTTTTAAAAATTATTTCATTCACAGTATGTTTTATAGTATTAAATTCAGAAATAATAAAAAACGTTGATTGTTGTCTTCGTGTATACTTTACCTTAAATATGTAGCTATAGATATTTTGAATTTGTGACTGGCAGTCGTCGTCGTCGTCGTCGTATATATTAATACAATGAAGACGATTTTGTATTCCAATTTAGCTTTTTCTACTAATCTTTCCAAAAGCAGAGACACGCATATGATAAGTTATCAATTAACAGCGTCTCTTTGCTTACTTGTAAACTAGTAAGGGATCATAACATTATTAATAACGTCGCCTTCATTGTATTGATAAAATCACCGACCACTGTAACAAAAAGTTGCCGATGGAGATACCGAGATCAACCGTTGTAGATTAGCGCCATTTATGACAAAAGATTTGACCCTTATGGCACAATTTCATAGGTTCAACAGTTAAAAAGTTCAAAATCCGCAGAGGTATTCTTGAATGAAAATGAAAGACGACAAACAGTTCGCTTTTTTAAGTTCAAGGTTTACAGATACAGGGTGTCCCATGTCATATTAGATCGTCAATGGGTCTAAAATACAATTTCCGGGACTAATAAGAAAATTTAAGGAGAATAGATCATTTTGAAAAATTGAATAAGACTAATATAAAAAATTTTCTTTAAAAAACTGCTGTTTTTTAAAAAATATTTTATGTTTATTTTGGCGTCATAAGCTTGGAGATGATCTAATATGATATGGGACGCTCTGTAGAATAAGAATATTTTAATAGGTTATAAACCCTATATCTAACAGTGAGACCCATTAAAACTGTGGAATGTGAAGACGAAAATTAGGCAGTTGTACAGGGTGTCCCAGGATACATGAAAATTGGTGAACTGTTTTAAATGTCTTCTTCCATATACGGTATTAGATATTAAAGACTTTCCGTAGTTTATTACGTTAAAAAATCTCGAATATATTTTACTGTTAAATTAATTTTACTAAAATATAACTGCCATATGATATTTTGTATTATTCTCTTAGGTATTAAACAATACAAGAAGTTATGAAAGAAGACATTTTAAACTTTTCATCAACTGTCTATTTCGTGGACACCCTGTACGTATATTTAATGTTGTTATAAAGCTACTAGGGTTACCACTTACCAATAGTTTAAAATTCATATTAATAAATAATTGGGTCTGGTACACCGCACAAAGTTTTCTGTCCACTGGACTATTTACAATCATATCTTGATTCCAAAAGTCGTCTTTCAATTCCATTTTGGGTCTCATTGTATGATTACTAAACTGTACTATTGAATGTTATGGCGAATGATAATAAAATAAATTAAATACGATGATAAATAAAATTTTTACAATTCATAAATTAAATATTTTAAAATTAATTTAAACTATTTCAAATATATATAATTATAATTAACTACGAGTAAGATTTCCGAGGCCTTCGTTGTATGTATACAGGGTGTCTCATTAAAAATATGTATTAAGCGAATCCACTAAAAAGAGTTCCTATTTACTAAATAAAATCTAGATTGTGTAGTGTGTATAGTCAATAAAAATCTAGGCAATTGATTTACTTAAAGATATTGCAGACGATTTTAAATTTATCTCAAAAATATTATTTCTTCTTGGGACTCCCTGAACACAATATCTTAATACAGTGATAATCACAAGGATGTAATGCAAGGAAAGTTATTTCAGAAGTCTACGTATCTTTGTTACTGTAGTGTACTGTCTCCGGGTGGTAATGTAAACACAAGACGGATGTCATAGCCTGACATGGGATCCAACTTTCACATAAAAAATCAATGAAATATTCTGGTCATAGGAAACTATTGTGAATTATAAAAATTATCAAATTTAATGCTTTTAACCTCCTCGGATACTACGACCGCAATTAACTTTCCTGGCATAACACCCTTGGATAATCAGAAAACTGTGGAATAGAAAGACGACATTATAGAAATACTTAACTGTATTTGATGTTGTTACAAAGCAAATAGTTATACTAATAACTTATTAGTTCAATTACTATGTGAAATAGTCTGTTTGCACTCCACAATTGCTGTGTCCCATGCCCATTGGACTATTTAAAGTCATAATTTGAGCCAAAAAATCGTCTTCTTATTCCAGAGTTTATGGTTATCACTGTATTGTCTTTGATTAACAAAGAAATTTTCCACGATATTAAACAAATATTCTAAAATTCACATTTTAACGTCAATTAAAAAATCGTCAAGTCGTCTTTTAAAATTCTCGTGTTTAATAAAACACTATGTGATTCATTCATTTGATTGAGTTTAAAGTAACGAACATTCTCTGAATTATATGAACATTTGAACAACTGGAGCTGCAAATCGAACTATTTTGTTAACACTTGAACATCTGGCTGAACTTAGAAGATTCAGGCTGAACAGTGGATGAACAAAGAACATGATTGAAAATATCGAACAATCCTAAAATAGAATATTTGGTTTGCAGATATTGTATAGTCATTATTAAATATAGCCTTTTTCTTAAAGGAAAGAATGCGCGCTATTTAAAAAAGAAAAAAAATCAATTTAATTTCAAACATATCATTCAGATATTACAACCTATAGTCATCGATTATCTTTCGCCACATTTGTATATAGTTGATTTTTCATAATATGTTTTAATTGTTATGATCTGAGAGTTACTTATAAAAACATTTCTTCCTGGTTCGAGGAATTTTGGTAATGAAGACGACATTTTAATATTTTCCAGGAATGTTCGAAAACAAGTTGTAAGCTGAATATTATTTTAAAAAATAAAATCAAAACATATTATGAAAAATCAACAAAATACAAATGTGGCGAAAGATAATCGATGACTATAGGTTGTAATATCTGAATGATTTGTTTGAAATTAAATAGATTTATTTACGGTCAAAGTCGTATGTTGCATCTTTCTGAATTTGTATGGACACTACGTTCTTCGGTATTAGTCGTTTTTAACAATTTTCTCCTTATAGACGCAACAGATAGAAGTAAGATTAGTAGCGATCAAAAGCGCTTTTTTATCGTATTTAGCCTATACCCCCTTTCATTTTTCGCAAACACTCCCTTTAAATAGCATTCTTGAACAGTACAAACGTCTGTTTAATATTTATCAAAATGGGTTTAACAAATCTGAATCTAACTAAGGGGCATTTCTAATGGAATGTCATTAATAAAACTTTTTTGGGCATCCTCTTTAAATAAATAATCGTCTCTGAAGTCTCATCCTTTGAGTGTGACCCTATAAAGTTGATGGGTTGCCGTTAGAAAACATTAACATTTCAACAGCCCTCTTTTTTATAAAAAATCCTATATCTTTGTATTTTTTTTTATTAAAAAACAAAATCAAACCTTTGAAAAATATTTTGCTTATCGGCGAGATGATGCGTGATACTTCTGTTCATCCTAAAAATACATAACAATTATCTTACAATTTAACCCAGACCTTCGGAAACATCTAAAGGATCCTTAAAATGTCGTCTTTACAAGGTTTCAATGTGGTGTATACTGTCATACCTAAATCTCAGTAATTGTAAAAATAAACATATAGCCATGAAATTTAAAATTTAAAACGCCTATTGATTATTCAATCTGGGATAAACTGTATAAGATTTATAAAGAATTGATTTAGTGCGCAATTATTATTTCGCTAAAATATAACAATATCTGAATTTGGTCGTGGAGGTAGAATTTTAAACGGCTCTTCGGTTTTGATACAACTTTTTGTCTGATAAACACCGCGGAAGATATCCTCGATTTTTACTTGTAAAAGTTTTGAATCCTGTCAAATTCCTTCATTGTCTGCTAATTAATCTGCGAGTCACTAAACCCCAATTTGCCAGAAAATTCGGATGTTAAGTTAAAGGTGAATTGGACTTGATAAACTTGATTGGATTTGATAAACTTGTGAATTGGACTTGATAATTCGACTATAGTGTGACACTGACAGTGTGTCCTTTTTATGTCGAATAAGTAGGACAAATGAATGATTTTTTTCTAATGGGGGG